GTCGGGTTCTCTACAACTATCTGAAAGGAGGTTGTAGTGAGGTGGAGATCAGTCTCTTCTCCCAAGTAACAAGCAATAGGATGAGAGGAAATGGCCCCAAGTTGCACCAGGGGAGGTTTAGATTAGATATTAAGAAAAATTTCTTCACCGAAAGGGTTGTCGAGCATTGGAACAGGCTGTCCAGGGAATTGATGGAGTCACCATCCCTGGAAGTATTTAATAAAGACGTGTAGATGTGGCACGTAGGAACATGGTTTAGTTGTGGACTTGGTGGTGTTGGGTTTATGGTTGGACTCAATGATCTCAAAGGTCTTTCCAACCTAATGATTCTGTCTTTCTTACCTTGGTGATCTTGCTGACGCTAAACAAAGCTTTTGTGGAGACGGTAATCCTCACCCTACAGAAGATGGAACTGACCAAAAGGCAGAATGGTGTGCTTCAGGGTGGATAAGCAAGGTACTAGAATAAGGCTGGGCATACAGAAGAGTCCAAGGTAGCTGTCAGAAAGCAAGTGTAATATGTCTGAAATGCTTGGGGTAAGTGGGATACTTGGATGAAATCCTGTGAAAGGACCGGAAAGTCTAGTTATTGTGCAGTTCTGCAGAAACTGCCTTAAAGTTCACCAAGACAATCTGGTGAAATGTATTTGAGTCATTAGTATAAATGTTGCCTGATGCACATGGGTGAAGGGGTGTTGCCAGCTGCAGATTGACCTGCAGTTAGTACCAGTGCGTTATGCACTGAGCAGCAGAGAGTGTGTTGCTACTTTCAAGGAAATTGGAGTGCAGGGAAAGACTGAGATATCCTGGAGGAGTTGGAGGCGTGTAGTGCACAAGTGCAAGTGTCTGTTGTGATCCTGGTAAGAAAGGCACTCAGACTCTGTATGTAGTGATTAACGTACCATTTGTTGGAACGCTGAGTTGAGCAGCATTGAACAAACCGCTCCATGGATAGGATCTGCACAGCGTGCTGTGCCCTAGTTGGAAATCCACCTAATGTTGCACAACTCAGGCTTCCCAGCATCTGAGTGGGTGTAAGATTATCTGTCCTCTCTTTTTCCTTTTTGTGTTAGTTCTAAGAAATAGAATTTTAATCAGTAATTTACAGAGTCTGAGTGCCTTTCTTACCGGGATCGTAACAAACACTGGTGGATTACAAGGTGGGGAGATGATTATGGCAGTAATTTGGGGGCTTTGGGGAAAACAGGAGGTTGGTTTGTTTGGATTTTTGTCCAGTTTTGAGGCAAGGAAAATGGCCTAGCAAATCAGGGCAGAAAGATGCTATCCAATTCTCAGACCTATTGGAACCTCATGAATGCCATTGTATTGAGACCATTGTGTATACTGGCTTTCTGTGCTGCTTTTCAGTGTGTAAGAGAAAACTGTGTTGCTTCTCACCTCTTCAGGGAGCTCCCTAGCACAGGACAGGCTGTGAGTGATAGAGACAGGGAGGGTGAACTGGGATGATTTTAAACCCTGCTGTACCAGTCTGAGCTGCTCAAGGCAGCAAGTGCTGGTTATTCATAGGGCCCAGAATAAGCTTATGGTGCTTGGCACAAGACTGGGGTGTGAATACCAGGAGAGCCGCTGAAAAGGCCAGCAAGGGCTCTGGCTGCTTTTCTTCCATAACTCTGCGAGCAGTGTGAATTTGAAGCAGCACTAATTCTCAGGGAAAAGCATCAAAGACTGCTTGCTCTGTACCCAGCTGGGAACAGAACAGCTTCTGCTCAGTCCTGGTGCTGTGCTGCCTTTCTCTGTAGGCTGTGCAGTAGGACTGTGCCTGCAGCTGGCTACTCACATTCAAGGTCCAGAGCAGAGTCCTGCTGCATGAGCCTAAATTCAGTGACAAGGTCTCTGCATGCGGAGACACAGTTGTACCCTCAAGTACTTAAAAGGCAGACTTATTCAACTAGTGTGTGACTAACACAGCCCAGAATTATTCATCTTGATATTACACTTCTTTTTTCATGTTTCTTAGTGTGCTATGGCACCCTGTGCTACCAGCGCCTTGCTGCAATAAGAGCAGTTGTGAGGAAGAAGTGAGGGACTTGGAAGAACAAGTAGGAGACAGAAGGGCGTTTAGCTTCTGGGGAAGGTGGTTTGGGATGTGAAATAAGCCCTTGATCTGCATATTCCTGCTTAAATGAGCACCAATGAAATGCTGAACAGTGGCATTTAAACCAAACATCACTAGAGCTGAATACAGTAAGTGACACAGCAGCTACAGCAGACTGTTGGAGTACATTTGTATCAAGGCCTTTTTCACAGTCATCAGGCTAATAATGTTTAAAAACCTTCAGATTCTGATGCACATCTTTGCATGAAGTCTTTGGTATTTTTTCATGGCTGTGATGCTTCAAGGTGTGGTGCATGGCTTACAACAATTCCTCAAAGACTTGCTCAAGTGAAGTTAAAATGGCTCTTATTTCTGAAGCCTTTTTTGCTTGGGGCTGGAAGAGGGCTAAGGAACGCTTCAGTGGAAAGTTGTGTCCCAACCTCAGGTTGAGGGAAGGTCCACTGATGGATGTGATTTGAAGTTGGCCTGTCTGAAGCCAGGGATCCAGTAAGCTATGTTGCAGTAGCATTTAAATGGATGTGCTGTAAAGGCAAGGGGGAGATGTGGGGTGGAATGGAGATGGTTACTGGCTGGCTGACTGCAGCTCCAGGGCTTGGACACTTCTAAGGGACTGCACGTGTAGGGGAGATTGTCATGCTCTATTTCTTGAGTTTAAAGAATGAAAATCTTTATTTAGTGCTGTTATTCTGGCAAAGGAAATTGCAGCAAGTTTGAGAGTTGGTTTAAATATATTATTTGGCCAAGTGAGTGTATGTAACTAGAGAAGGACAATGGAGATGTGGAGCATAAATTGATATGTGTATCTCCTGACCTTGATGTAGAGGGATAGGCGTACAGACCCTATTGACTAGGTAGAATGGACACATGAAACACGAAAGAGAAATAAAAACATTTTCTAATATTTCCTAAAAGTTCCTAAATAGCAGCAAAAGTTATGATTGGCTGGGGTCTCACATCAAATCCTCATACAGATGGTCTGATCTAGGTCGTTCTTTCCCATGATAGCTGAGGAATTTCCAGAGTGGGAATAAACTGAAGTTTTCAGCCTCTGGGGGTTTTTTGTGCATATGGAAACTAATCCATGTGTTTTAAAGCTCATCTGTTTTCACCCCATTAGATGCATAGAATCTGTACTCGCACTGTGTTTCCGATGTGTGATTTCTGTGAGAGAGCTTGGCCTGGCCTGGGACGTGGCCAGGACAAGCCTGAGGACCTCTCAGACAGGTGTATTGCAAAACCCCTTCTGTACTGAAATGCTTTGAGCAACAGAACTGTAGAGGCATTACTTCATGGGTTGTCTGTTTGTTCCCTAATTAGTTAGTTGATTTACCTTCAAACTCATAAATAGCTCTGTTTAGCTTGCATTAAGAGGATGTTTTGAGCTGCACTTACCTATGCCAGAGCTCTTCAGTTCCTCTGCAGAATGGTTGTCGTTTTCCTTGGGCAGAGGTCAATCCTGAGAACTGTCTTCCTGTGGTGCTGCTGCTTGCTTGGCCACATGCTCCTGTGGCTGTGAGCATGGCCATAACTGCATCTTGCACTGGACTGAGCCTGGGTTGCTCTCAGGATGGCTGGAAGCATGGTGGGAAGGTATGAGATGCTGTCTGTGAGACACTGAGAGAGTGTGGCGGAGGTCTTTGTAGTGTCAGGGGAGACCCTGGGAGGGCAGTGCAAGGGAAGCGGGGAGCCGGCAGAGTGTGAGAAAGCCGAGAAGTTCGGTCAGACCTGCGGGTAGAGAGTGCCCGGGGTGCTACAGCTGTGCCAATGGGAGATTGTGTTATGGGGATAAAGAAGAAGGTGAACCTGAAAGGGTAGTTGCAAGCATATGAAGGTCGAGGGATCCTTAGAAGCAGGCTGTTAACTGAGATGATCTGTTTTTATTTCCTCAGAGCTCTTGTCTATGCCAGCCGTAAAACGATTTTCTGTGTCGTTTGCAAAGCATCCGACTAATGGTACGTTTGCTTCCTTGATTTGACGTTCCCTCACACTTCTAACCCCATGCTCACATTCAGTTCTCTCTGCACATATTCTCCTCTCAGCCTTCTTGTGGTTTTTTTGTGTCTGTGTATCTGGTGTCCAAACACGCTTCACCTTCCCCCATTGTCTTGTTGTGACTAACGTGTTCATTCATCCTCTATTACTGCTCAGTGGTTCCTCTGCTGTCCCCCAAGGCGTTTGTGTCCCAGGTGAAAAAAGCAAGAGCAGTGGCTCTGTGAATGGACTCCTAAAGCAGCCTTTAATTCCACAGCTGACATTAAGGCCTTCTTTCATGCTCCCTTTTGGGGGGGTGGGGGTTGGAGGGAGAATACCATTGGATTTGGGGAGGCATATCCACGCCATATCCTAAGAGCATCAGCAGCTAGCAGCTTAGAGCCTCAGTTTCTACGATGCAGATTTGCAGGACCAAAACAAGGATAGCCTGAGGCTACCCGTGTGTCACCTGGAAGAGCGCAGTCTACAGCGGGAGAGAAGGCGGTGCTAACACCATTCCCTCTGTACATGGTATTTATTCCTCAGCACAGTCGTCTTAGGAATACTGGTAACCTCATGGCCTCCTATTTGCAAACGTGTCTGTCAGGTGGTCCTTTGCTTAGTCCAAGCATGGTGATGTTGGTGGGAGTAGGCTCACCTTTCCTGCAGACATTGTCCTGGGAATCATGTCTCTCCAGAGCTTTCACTCATCTGCTGTTGATGGACAATGCTGGCTTGGCCCTGCCACCTTCCTGAGGTAGGAGGGGATCGGCACCGTGCCACCCAGGGTGGTGTAACCTGCTTCACTCCTGTCGTGCTCATAGCTGTGAAAAGTCTTGGTAAAGGATGTCTGACAGTGCTTCTGTTGACTCACTATCTCTGCTTCATACTGCTACTAACCTGACACCTGAATTGTGAGTCTTAAAGTGGTCTTAAAGACCACTAGCTCTGTTGCAGCAGATGCCTTGAACTGGTGTTTATTATCCAAGTCTTGCACAGAAAGTTTTGAAAAGGTTTGTTTCACAGCACTGCTCCTACCTCATGGCTCCTGCTGTTGAGACAAGTTAGAACCAAAGTGGATCACTGACAGATACCAGGTTAAGCATTTCTGTCTTATGTGATCAAGGCTGCTTCTGCAATCTTGTTGCTTAGTAAATACAAAGGTGTTCTTCTGTGCGTGATCTGGAAGATGAAAGAAGATCAGAAGACTGTTATGAAGACCAAAGTTTTGGAAAAGATGAAAGGGGAAGGGGCAGCTAAATGTGGCTTTATCGTCTGAAATAACTGAAGGGAACGTATTTTCTGTGTTGCTTGGTTTTGTTTTTCCCAGGGTAGCCAACTGCTCAATTTGTTTGTATGTCTGGATGCCATCTGAGCTCATGTGGTGTATGTCAGCAGGATGTGTCATTCTATCTTGCCAGCAAAACTTTTACCAAGCACCAGTCTTTCCTAAGCCACACAGTAAAGCAACTGCTCCCCACCCCAAATACAATAAAGTGAAACTGGCCTCAGGTTTTTCCCAGGAACCCAATGAATATTTCTAATGGCGAAGTGCTCCTTGATCAAGAAAACAAAGACAGAGGTCCACCAGGTGCAAGCTTGAAGTTAGGCATGTTTGGTCTAGGCTTTGGCACTGGTTTTAGCAGGAAGGATGTTTAGTCACATGAACCACTCACCTGAGGATGTAAATGCTGTTCAGAGCTCTGAATCTGAATTTTCTTTCTGAAGAGCTGCCTCTATGTGGTGAAGTGGGATGGGTGAACCAGAGCAGTGGCCGAGCACAGCATCAGGCCAGATGGTTTATGCCCTGATCTCATGAGCCTTGGGAGTGTGACATAAGTCCTGAGGCTGTATACATGGAGGAGGAGACATGCCTGCATGCTTAGTATCTTCTCTGCCATGCAAGGATATCACAGAAGTTTGCACAGGGCTTTTCTGAGAGCCTGGAGAGAGGAGGTCAGCACTTCGGTGCCCCCTCTGTTCTTCCACACTCTAAGCACTATGCTCTCAGTCAAACCCTGCTGTCCCCAGTGTCCCCTTCACAGCCTCCTGTTGTTTGATGCTGGGCCGTTTGCTGTCTTCCACATGCTGAGGTGGCTGGCTGTGTTTGGATGCAGGACTTGAACGCTCTGTTGGCAGTCTGGTTTTCTTGTCTCAGCTGGGGGCGGGTGAGCGTGGGCCTGACCTTCTTATCTAGCCAAACCTGAACTGTATTGGACTTGGAACGTGTCCTAAAATTTGTTCGCTTGTCAGACTTTCACTTACAAAGGCGAAACCTCACTGCTCAGGGACCGCCCCTGCGCTGCAGCTGTGTTTGGCAAAGGCTGGGCCAGGTGGGAGGCTGGCCTGCTGCAATGGGACTGGGCTACGTAGAGCTAAGGGTATTCCTGACCTGCTCGCTGTGGGAAGGACTGGGCTTCAGTGTGTGGTGTGGGTCTTTCCCACCCAGCAGCCCTGGTGCTGGCAGCTCCATCCCCACATCTCCACAATTTCTCTATCCTCAGCTGCACCTGCCCCTCTCCTCTCACTCTCTGTGGCCCCCTTTCCTCCAGATGTGCTTGAGCACCACCACGTTGCCCAGTTGCTGCGCCGTTTTTCCTCTGACTATGCCACAAGCCGGAACATCTCCCTGGATGCCACTCTAGCCCATCACCTCCAGCAGTGCTCCTACCACCTGCGCCTCTTCAGGAGCTGGCTGATCTCAGGGCAGGATGACTTGGAGTGTCTTTACGGTACTGCACGCTGCAGCTGCCTTGGTCCTGTGCTCTTGTAGCTGAGCAGGGACCGCTATCTGCTTGAGAATGCAAAGTATGCTTTGCTTCAGAAAGAGAAAAGCGTTTCCCTCACTGCATCCCTTAAATCTCTGGGCTGCTGCTGCAACAAGCTGTGTGGGCTGTTGCACCCGGCAGTTTTGGAGTCCTAGGCAGTAGCCTTTCCACATGGAGACGGCGCTCTTCGTGTGGCTGTAGAGAGCTCTTTCCATCTTTGGCAATTGTTCGTTGCCTCCTTCCTTTAGCCAGACTAAGCCCTTAAGCTTCCGTCAGGTGAGATGCTGAGCTCCCACCAGTGTGATGCCCTGCTGACGTGATACCCCTGTGCAGGTCTCAGTGGGGTGCCACAAGGTGTCCTGTTACTGAGAGGAACCAAAGTGAATAGTAAGAGTATGGGAAGAAAGAAGATTAAGGAGATGCTGCAGCTGGTCACGTGCAGAGTGAACTTGTCGTGGGAATTTTGGGGAAGTGAGTGCTTGTGGGACTGTGTTATTTCTGGAGAGACCAAGTTAAGATAGGGTAGAAACTGAGCTTCTGTGTGGCTGCATTGCATGGCATCTGTTCTGCCTGTTAGGACCATTGCAGCGTGTCACATCTCTGGTGGGAAGAGGTAGGCGATTTCACCATTGAAGCTAGATGTTATAAATCAAAGCTTGCGACTGTTTCTCTGGTATTTTTCAGCCTCTGGCACAGACGGGAGGGAATTCTGATGCATCGCGATCTCAGTGCTTCTAAAACAAGTAGAAAGATTCCTCTCTGAGGGGGACAGCTAGCTAGGGCTGGCTGTTAATGTTTACCTTGCACCATAAAACCCGCTTGGTGCATGTGGCTTGCTGAGCTGTGTGGTGTGATGCATGGACCTCCTTTTTCATTCAGACCCATAGATGGAAGGGGCAGAAACAGTATAGCTTTTCATGTAGTGAAGCAACAGGGTCAAGCGTTTTCAGAGCCTGGAAAAATGAGAATTTTTCTTACACAGTCTGGTGGGGTTTTTTTTTGATATGGCCCTTTCTGTCAAGTAGACAATTTGGAGATGGCAGTTGCTTTTCATATATAATTAGGACAATCCTTGGTCTCCTAGCAACAAGTACTAAAGAGGAGCGAAATTTCTTCAAGGGAAGAGGTGCTGGAACACAGCAGACTGGTCCAAAGCCAAAGCTAAGCTTCCCCTGCTGCAGATCTCGGCCATCTCCTGTGAGCTCTGGTAGGGAGAGGAAATGAGCTCAGTGCTTTGGGCAGCAAAACGCCAAATATTGCAGCATGGTGCTGGGTTGTGCAGCCTGCCCTAATGCAGCAAAACGTGACGAGTTACATGCCTCAGCGTAGCAGCCTTCCTGTGTGGAAATCAGATCTGTGCAATCAGTGGGTTCTTTCTTGCTGTTTTCTCAGTCTGTGTTCAAGCCCACAGTTAATTAGCATGTTTGTGAGTCCTGCTGGGGTTCTTCTCAGAGCAGACGTTTCTCCGGTCTCTATAGCTGACAGCCCAAGTTCCCCCCCTTGTGAAAATTACATACTCCTATCCTCTCTTTCTTGGCTTTCAGCCATACTTCTATCCGCACAAAGAAAACATGAATTAAAAGATAGAGTCAGGGAGTTAAAAGTATGCAGTTGGCATCCATAGTTGGCAAGACCAACGGTGGAACCCTGAAGCAATCTGTCTGGGAACCTGTGCTTTTCTGTGTGGTCATAGCTGGGAAAAGAGAAGAGTGTGAAATAAGTTCGTGTTAGTAGTGAATGACAGTGGTACTGAAGCCAAAGGTCAGCTGTGAAGAAACAGAGAATGGCCCTGTGGTAATGAGTGGGCAGTGAAACAGCAGGTGATGTTCAGTGTAAGTAAATGTGAACGACAAGGGGAAACAGCCCCAAATTCATATATAAAATGTAGGCTCTGATCTCACCATCACCACTTGGGAAGATGTGGAAAAGGTAGAAATTTGCAGTCTGGGAAAGATATTTGTGATAGTGGTCGGAGTGCCCTGGAGAGAGGTGGTGGGGATCCGCAGTTCAATGTCTGTTCTGGTACAGGAGCTAGGAGGCTTCTAGTGGAGTGAGAAGAGGCAGCTTCAGGTGGAAGTGATTTTTTTCCATGCACAGTGAAACTCCTCGCTGCAGTACATGGGGGTGTTAGGAGCTTAACTGAGTTCAAGGGGAGACTGGAGAATATCGAAGAGATGCATCAGGTTCAGAGCAGTTCTGAGCTGCAGGTCACTGGAGTTTGGGGGCTGATTGGGGGAAGAGTCACTGCATGCTGTTGTCACATACCCCTTCATTCGTAGCCACTTCTGGCACTGTGGGCTGAACGAGGATAGACCTTCAGGCTGACTGTACATGCTTAGATTTAGAAAGGCTGGTTACTAAAAATCCTAGGTCGTATACATATCGTGTATGCATATGTAAACACATACAAATATACATGTGGCATACTGGAGTTCTCCCAACAAAGTAAGGCTGACCAAGCATATTAGAGAGGAACTTGCTGAGTGTGCATTCTTCCATGCCCTTCAGAATCTGTGCTGAGACTGGGCCAGTGCTTCTTTACTCTGGAAGAACTGGCATACAGTCCTTTGGTGTGCAGACCTTTGGGGGATGTGCCAGGCGCTGTTGGTCTGCCTGTTGCTTTCAGGTTCTCCATTAGAAAGGACCAGGCACCCTCTCCGCTCCAATGTAGAGTTCACAACTGGAGAGCTGGGTGGTAACTCTGCAGCTTCTGCTAATCAAATTGTGTGTAGTAATGTTCAGAACTCTCAGGCAAAAATATAATACACAAGAAGGGTTGCTTTGGACCAGAAGGACTTCTCACTTGAGTATTCCTTGGCCTTTGTCTTTGTCTGTTGGCTGACAATGGTTTAGCTGCTTTGTACTTGCCAGCCTGCTGCAGCAGCAAGCACCTTGGCTCTTCTAACGAGCTCATGATGCTAGTAAAGAAGCTTGCCATATTTGGGACCTCAGCTCCATCTTGATAAAGCTGAGGAACATGCCCTTTGGACTGCCTGAAGACTGCTCCTTTGTCGTGCCTGCTAGCCAGGAATTCTGCTGGCTCCCAGGTGATCTGCTGAATTACCAGCTCTGAGGGATAATCACGCCAACACTGATTTCATGCTGGGGAGGACGTGTGTTCCAAATAAACTCAACTTTCCCAACTCATATTACACAGTAAGCTTTCTTCTTGTCTCTCTGGCACATACATAGAATTTAGGAAACTTTGTGTCACCTTGATTCAAATTAGATGCTTCCTCTTAATGAAATGGTATTGATTTCCTCTTGAGGGCTTAGACTGGGACATCTCCTGCAGTAATTAAGAAGATGCAAATGAATTCGAAGTCTTGATTTCTCCCTTGTTCTTACCTTTTCCCAGTATAAAAATCTGCTTTTAGTTCTGCTGCTAGCAACTTTGGTTGAATTTTCTTTCAGACCTCAGGGTGACTGAAGGAAATATAGCTAAATGGATGAAAGTACCTGTTACATCTGCAATGAAAGAGCAGCAGGGTAACACAGCATATAGGGTTCACTCAGAGATCTGTAATGTATTTGCTTGGTGTTCAAGTTGTGTAATCATAAAGTAGGTGTTGGCTATTTCAGACTTCATCATTGGGTAGTCCAGGTAGAAAGGTGGCACTTCTTGACTCTTTCTTTGAGGTCGTCTGCTAAAAGGTAGCTGTTCACAAGAGTTCTGGGTGTTCCTACTGCCTGCTGGAGTCTCCTAGGAATCTGGGATTTTCTGGTTTTGATGGAAGATGTGAGACAGGTGCAGATCTCCATTTGCTTTATATGGTATAGTGTGCTAGGTGATCTCTGCCAAAGGGTCCTTACGCCCAAATCACCTTCTTAATACTCTTATGAAGTGTTGTGTGTCAGTACTAGGCAACTCTGAAGCAATCTTACTCTAAGGTGAGAGTCACTCCCTCCTTGAACATCTGGAAGACTTCTTCATAAACCATGATTACGCTGCGTAGACTCTCTGACAGTGTGCAGCAAAGTGTGCACGTGCCAAGAGCATGAAGCTCCGGGGAGAAGAGCTCGAACTGGAACATAGCTAACTCAGATGTAACGCGAGTCAGCCTTCAGCTTTGGCACCAGCATGCCTGGGAGAGTCAAAATAAGGCTTGTAATCCTCTAGGTGAATTGTACCTCTGGTGCTCTGACCCGCAGAATGGCTCTTCAGGCAGTACCGTTCTCTCTGCGGCTGTGTCAGGATGCTGCTGCATTATTGATTCAGAGTGGAGATTCCCCCATAGCTACTCCCCCACATCACACGCAGTCTCCTTGGACGTCCAAAATAATACATACTCAGCAGACTCCTCTGCCTTGTGAATCTTAAGGTTTTTCCCATAACCAAATCTTGTTTTCTTTACTCTAACAGATGGTTTCTTCCTGGTTTACTGAACAAAAATTTTGGAGACATAACCACACTGTACTGCTTGCCCAGAGAAGATTACAGTTGACTTTGGGATTCGTTTTTAGCTACTCTGGTCTGCAGACCCCCGCCACGTGCCTCTCCCTGTAGGGCAGGCCTAGCTCTGGAGGAAGCAGATTGCCCTCTGCATCCCTAGTGCAGCTGGCGCAGTCAAACCCGAATCAAATGAAAAATGAAACTTGTTCCTCTGTGGACTGCTGTTTGACTTGAATGGAATTCTGTCTAATTTCTTGTGCTGTTGTCCTCATCACAGACTCCTGCCCTGCAGGCCCCAGGAAAAGTTTCAGGAAGCATCAAGCAGTAGCTGAGCAGTCAGCACTGGGTGACTGTCAGGCTGGAAAGGTTCCTGTGGTTTGCACTTATGCTTTATTTTTGTTGCCCCTTCCCAAAGCTGTCAGTTCTTTGCTAAATGCGTGTGGTGCAGCAGTGGTCAGAGCTTTTGCTGGGGCTGCTGGCTGCTGCTGTGATACACGTAAGGATTATGGTCTGTAGCGGTAACTTCTGCTTTGGCTCTGCTGTGGTGACCTAAAACTGCCATTGCTGGCCTCTCCCCAGCAGCTAAGCAGTTCAGTGGAGGCGTGCGGGGAAGTGGGCTGCTGTACACAAATGAGAGGGATTCCTTGAAAATCGTAGTGCTTCACCTTAAGAAGGGCAACTTTTGCCTTTTTCCTTACTTGCTCGAGACCCGTTAAGTGACACAGTGCTGAGCAGAGTTGTGTGAACAGGCATTTGGCACTTTGGGGATATAGGTGTATCATTTCACATCAGTAGCATTGTTAGTGTCACACGTTTCCTTTAATGCTGGGCCTTTCATTTCCTCTTTTTATTAGAGGAGTGCCGAAGCACTCAGATCCCCATCAGTGCCTCCAGTGTATCTTGTAATTACCTTGCTTTGCCCTGTGTTATATTCAAACTTCTTCCCTCCTTCTCTGGAGACCCCAATAGCTCAGCCAACTTTGGCCCTTCTTAAACCAGATCCTGTTGTGAAATGACATTAGCCTCATACTATGCTGCTCCACAACCATCTCCCCGTGGCTGTTTGCTAGGTCTTGCCCTCACCCTTTCCCTCTGGCTCTGTCTCCTAGAGTGCCTGTGAGAAAATAATGAACAGATAGTCTTCCTTATTCAGCATTTCCACTCTAAGGACCTCTCAGCAAAGGGACAGAAGAGTATAGTACTTTTCCTGTGTCTTACATTCCTTCATCCTAGCCAAGGATTTGTTATCCTTCATGTCTTGAATTGCTGTTTGTAGGCCCTTTGTGGCATAGGTAGCCTCTCTGGACTGTCTGGAGGGTTCTTTATCTCCAGTAGCTGTTATGGCATGAATGTCTCCGCAGCACTGCAAACTGGTGATGATCTGGTCTGCAGCCTCCTCATATTGCATGTGGATTCACTCTAAATACCATCTCGTTCTCCTTGCTGCTTGCAGAACTGGGTTACACTTACAGATAATCCAGGTGCTCCTAATGAGGTCTCCTTAGGTGCTGTCAAGCTGCAGGGATCAATTTTAGCCTGTCAGTGTGCTGGGCAGCATCCTGTCACAGTAGTGGATCAAGAGCTGTTGTACTTTTTGCATTTCAAAGTAATTTTTCTTCTCTATAGGAACAAATCCAGTTCCTTCCCGGGGTCTTTTTGAGCTGCTTGGAGGGAGCTGGGGAGACACAGAACGGGAAATCTAAGCCTAAGAAGTTTAGAGGCCTTTAAACTCAAGAGGTGCAGAGCAGGAGGAGGCCTCATTCCCATATGCCCAGAGACTCACTTGGTTCTTCCTTGCTCCTCTCACAGTTTCAGGTTTGCTTGCTTCGACAAAGCATTGCCAGGAAGCTTGGATGAGGAGGAAGATGCTTTGCCGTAATACTCTGCTGGCTTGAGTAGCAAAAAATTTATTGTGAATGGTTGTGATGCAGCTTAGCTCTCGGCAAGTGTCTGTTAAAAGCTGAGATACCTATTTCTACTAATTCTGGGTTTGTGGCAGTGAGGCCTTGTTAAGGGGACAAATAATTCAAACGATTGCCCAGCCCTTCTTTGGGATACAGTCTGTCGGGCGTACACCGGAGGGTCTGCTGTGAGAGAGAGATGTTCTGCCACTCCCTCCATTTATAACGGTGTGCACTGCCTCGCTGATGGGGAGAGGGCAGGCTGTGTGCCAGGCTGGGGTGTCACTAGTGGTGGGAGTCCTTCTACAGAAATTCGGTTGACTTCACTCAAATTCTGTTTCGCGTCTGTAAAGTGTGGGCACTGTGCCAAGTTTTCCATCATAACCATATATTTTAGCAAAAGGGTCACAGGTTTGCAGCAAACACGGCTGCTGCTAGATATGTTTCCTCCTCTTCCCCCTCCTGCGTGTGCCTGGACGCTTGCTTTCAGGTCTGTTACTGCATGTGATTGCCTAGTGGCGATTTTCTTGGCCTAGAAGAAGTGACCTTAGGCCTGAGTGTACCTGTTGTTTGATTCCCAGACTTCCCAGCTCCTTCAACCATGAGTGGTCCTGCATGGATTTAGGTTGCTGTTTGCTCTTTTCATCTTCTGACTGGGTTTCTTTCCAGGTTTTGAAGGCTGTTCCATGGTTCCTACCATTTATCCCCTGGAGACCCTGCACAACTCCCTCTCTTTGCGACAGGTCAACGAGTTCCTGACGGCTGTGTGCAGGAGTTGCAGCGAATCGCATGTCCAGTCTACTGCAGGTACTGGTGAGGTGGGCTTGTCTCTGGGTAAGCCAGAAGAGAGTGGAGGCAAGGAGAACTTTTGGTCTTTTACATTATTGGGACAGATCAGCCTGACAGGACTGGCAATAAGCGCTCTCTCTGAAACCTGTTCCAGGCTGTTCTAGCCCAGGAGTGAGCTGTGGGACCCAGCTCAGAGCCATCCTAGGCCACTTACTTGAGGGACAAGTAATCGGTCAGGTCTATCTGTAACTGATAGGTACAGTGACACGGATACAAACTCCAGCTTGGGAAATCTTAGCCTCAGATTCCCAGGACCTGACAGACAGGCATGGCTCTGAATTTGCACTGTTCTTGAGCTCTTCCCAGAGTGCCTGCTCATGGCTGCTGGGCTACGAGCCATTCTTTTATGTGTGTCTGAATATTATTGATCTCTGGGTTTTTTTGTTTGTGTGTGTTTTTTTTTTTTTTCTTGAAGCTTTGTTTGATTCAATGATTGGCAGCCAGATACCAGGAGACCCCTTTATGTCCCAGCGAATCCTGTCATCATCCTCTTTGCCACTGCGCCAGCGTTCGGATAAGCCTCCTTGGTGTGAGTGTGCTCCCTTCTTGATCAGGGGTGAATGTGATGGTGAGGGAGGGAAATAAAGGGTGCCAAACGGTAGAAGCCAAGTATTTGTACTCAGGCTTTCTATGCTCTGCCCTTGAAGGAACAGAAACAGAAAGGGGAAATAGGTAAAAGGAAAAGTAGTCACAAGCCCTGTGAAAAAAACTTCCAAAGAAAGATGCAGAAAGGGCCTCTCTGTGGTATTATATATCATGGGGAGATCTACTGCTGGATGGATGCTGTCCCTCCAGACATCCTCTGCTTTGTGCACTAAGACATGGAGGACCTGAATGCACTTCATTTTCGTCTCAAGTTTTGTGATTCTCCGTGACACATGGCCAACTCACTGTTGGCATGTGGAAATGCCTTCTTTTCCTAACCAGTCACATACATGCTTCACCCAGAGCTCCATATAGGACAGCCGATCATTTATTTCTTCACTTATACACTTTTCTGCAGCTCCTGGGCCTCATCTGTCATGGTCTCTGCAGAGCTGGTGACTGTTGTTAGTCCCCTTTGCAGATCTGACTGGAACTTGAAGGGGAAAAGGTTAGCCAGCAGTTGCACAGCAAGTGCCTTAATAACACAAGTCAAGGTTGCCAGTGAACGAGCAGTCCTACTCTTCTCCTGGCTGTGCATCCTTGTGCCAGGAGTATTGTGTGTTTGTGTAGGCAGCAAGGTCGGGGAACTGATTTGACTGAAAACAGTTGTTTAATCCTCCCCCCTTTATTGGATTAGATATAACCTAGATGTGTTCTCTGGTTTTGCTCATTGTACAATATAAGGCAAGAATAAGCATTAGTGGAGAAGCAGTATTTCTCCTCTCGGTGGTGACTCGAGCTCAAGGTTCAGGGGTTGTGTGGGTCAGGAACCGAGAGGAGCAAAGTGTGAACTTTGCAAACACTCTCAGTGAAGCTGAGAGTGTTCCATAATAATGAGGGAATGAAAGAAACTGCTTTTCAGCACAAAGCCCAACATCACACTTCACATTTTGCTGTGTAATGACAACAGAATCCACTCTTGGCTCTATACCAACATACCACTGTACAACAAGATGTAATTGTGGTGTTTGTGCTTAGGTTTTCGTCAGCTGAGCTACCAGAAACACACCTAAAGCCCCTGCCATGTTGCATGGCAGGCAGACAACCCTCAGCTATTGGTTGTAGAACTGTGGCACTGTGACAGCTTGGGTCTGCCCAGGCTTTGGGCTAGGGAAATACAAGCTAAACGTTTAAGATTTTTCTTCCTCTTTGCAGACAGCAGTGGCCCCTCCAGTACTGTCTCCAGTGCAGGCCCATCCTCCCCAACCTCTGTGGACAACTGCGCTCGTTTCAGCTTCACTGAGAAACTTTCCATCAGTCCCCCCAAAAGTGAGGAGCAGCTGACTAGCCAGTCCCCTGAGCAAGAAGAGAGACAGCCTCCAGGCAGAGGGCTTGACGTGGAGGTGGAGATGTCTGGGTTGTTGGTGGCGGAGCCAAGTGCCGCAGAGACCTCAAGCTGGAATAAGGACCTAGAGCCAGGCAGTGTCTTGGAGCTGTGCAAGAAGGAGCTGGCGGAGGAGGACTCTAACCTAGAGGAGAAGAGCATGGTGGAGCTGGATGAAGAAGAATCAACTGGGGAAATGTTAGAGCCAAGTAACACAGGGAACCCAAAGTGTGGTGCAGGGTCTGATACAAGGCTAGCTGGGGAGAGAGTGAGGCTAGGTGAGGGGTGTATAGGGGGAATGACCAGCCTGGATCAGTCAGGGCTGTCCAAGGAGATCTTGGTGCCCTGTGAAGAGGAGCTGCTGGGGGAGGTGTTGGACCCAGAGCATGTGGGCAAGGAGCTGCTGGGGGACAGTGCTCTGTCAGGCCAGCTTCTGTCTGGTCACTCGTGCCAGGTGCAGCCACTGCCTTCTGAGAAAAGTGTGGAGGAGCTGCAGCCACTGTGTCAGGAGGATCAGCAGAATTAGTGGCTCACTGGACAGCACACTGCAAGCGCTTCTAGCCTGGAGGCAGCCCAGCTTCCTGCACAGCACCTCATGCAGCTGGCTGTCCGCAGCACAGAACAAGCCATGTCCCAAGGCCACAGGACTCTGGGGTGTGGAAGAGTTTACTCTGCTCCTCCACAAGCCAGCTTTTCGCCATTTGGCAAGAGACCATGCCCCATCTGCCTTGTTAAATGAACAACAAATGCAGTCTTTCTACTGGCATGGCACCTCCATGGAGCAGGGACATGGGACTGTGTTGGTGTCCCAAGGGCAGTATGCTTGCTGGGACGGCAGAGTTAAGAGGATTGGTACAGCCAAGGCTTTTGGGGTGGGAAGTCCAAAGGGGACAGATGCTCCCTTGAGATTTTTTGGCCCATAGCCTTCAGAGAAGGGCATTCTGGGCCCAAAGTAATCAGATCCATTGCAACCACCAACCTCCTCTCTGTTCCTTCCTCCTTCCTCTCTCAATTCCCACCACTGGCCACCAAAAACCAGTCCAGAGGGTCTATGGCAAGAAGACGAGGAGAAGCAGAAAGCATTCTGAATGGAGTGTGGGAAGGAGAGTAGAGGGGATCAGGTTGAAGACTGCCACTTGCAAGAAAACATCTCTTAAGCGTGGACTTGGATGTTTTCCTGCTGGGCTGGGGCAGGCAGGCAGAAGCCTGGGGATCCAGCCTGAGAGAGGTGGGCAGGGAGGACACACGGGTTTTTTTTTCTAGTCCCCAAGGGTCAGGCGGGGTACAGCTCTGAAGTCTTGGTGACAGAAAAATTAAAAGAAACTGCTATTTGAACAAATCAGGATTATTAGAAACCAATAAGGTGAAATCTTTATTATATATAAAATGAAAAGTATTTAATACATATTTATGTAAATGACTTGTGAGCACAAGCCTGAGGGCAAGATTGACACGAGTGTCCCTGCCACATCCTGAGTGCAGGCCAGGGCTGTGCCTCCTGCGCCTCCTGTATTTATGGACGTCTGCGTGTTTGTCTGTAGCTAGGATCTGTGTTTTTGTGAAGCTGTACCCAAAGATATCCATGCTGTGTTGTGATGATGTGTGTTCACAGTAAATCTATGCTGTGGGTCCGGTGTCTCTCTGTCTCTGATGCTGACTTGCGCAGCAGTGTGTGTGTGCCAGAGCTTGCAGGTGCCAGAGACAGCAAGCCCTGCTCGTTCTCTGCCGTCCTGGAAGAGGAACAGTGGCTGAAGTCACAACTGCAGGGAGTGCACAGGCATGGGGCTTTGCTCAAGAACGCCAGGTACCTCTTTTTTTCCTCCACAGAAGAACTGGTCATACTGGGGAAGAGGTCCTAGCATCCCAGGTCCCAGGTCGGTTTGCGGCAGAGTGAAGACGCCAGGGCAGCACGTTTGGCTCCTTTCACTTGGTCCGCAGCTCGTCAGTTCCAGGCGCATCCTGGGTACCGTGTCCTCTTCCTCAATGCCTGATAATCCCTAGCTGCCAGTTTCAGTATTTTAAGGAAGGTCATGTTTATTTGCACTCGAAATGCAGCAGTCGTACAGCTGCCTGGAGTGCAGCACTGTGCTAGGAGGAAGCCTGTGTCCCCCCCTTCCACAGGGCTGTGCCAGCCTTCGTGCCAGGGTCTGGGAGAAGGCCCTGCCTTGTGCTGCACGGAAGCCCTCTGGCTTTCATGGGCGACCCTGCATTAAAGACCGGGAAGAACAGATAACTTGGCCGGTGCCTGTCGGGCTGAGGCTGTGGGCACGCAGCGTGGCCCTGCCCCGAGAGCCGGCTGTGGGAGCGCCGGAGGCAGAGCAGCACTCGATCCCGCTTGGGCCCCTCGGGCAATGCCCGCACCTCCTGGGGTCAGTGGTGCCTGGCGCCCGCCACCGCCAGCACCGCAGCTCCGGCAGCAGGGTCCCTGCCCGACACAAGAGCTGCGTCTCCTGTCAGGATTTGGGTGTTTCTGTCTGGGGGAGGCAGCACCCACCTCTGTACCCACAGAGCGGAGACCATGACCCAGGCCTGGGCAGGGTGGTTGCCCTGATGGACCCAGCATCACCTGCCACAAGCTGTCATTGCTGAGGGGCACGGCTCCTTCAGCGGTGGCACAAGCAGGTCACGGAGCAGGGTCTTGTGGGGTGGGAGCCTGGCTTTCAGGTGCTCGCCCCCACACAGCTGGGAGCTCGTTGCTTCTGGGGCCCTGGAGCCTGCTGGTGGGCTGGCTTTGCTGCGTACAAATGCCTGGCAGATCTCCTGCCCGCTCCCCCTGCGCTGCAAGAAAATGGCCAGGGGCTGCTCTCAGTGCCAGCTGCTCTCCTGCCAAGCAGCGCAGGAGACCGGACTGTGGGTGCCAGGGCAGCCCAGAGGACACCTTGCAGTTGGGAACCCCTTTCCCCCAGAGAAGGCGGCTGCAGCATCCTTGTGCTTCCACGGCTTGGCAGGGGCAGCACGCGTGCGGCGGCAGCACTGCCCGCGAGCTGCTGCTGCAGGATGAGCCGCGTCGTCCGAGTACAGAAGTGGCCTTTCTCGAGAGGCGCTGAAGGCCGCCTTCTGCAAGAAGGCATGGCTGAGTGCTGCAGTAGTCGAATTCCTGGGTAGTTTGCTGCCGCTCACAAGAACCACTGTTACTTACAATGTTCCCCAATCTTCACCTGGAAATGAAAAGGGAATGAGGCTTGGGAAGCAGCTTGCAGCTGCGGCTCTGCAGCTCAGTGAGAGATCAGGCCCAGGAGAGAGGTCGGAAGGGTTTTTGTTGTAATGAAAAATACAAACCTCCATATTCCTAAATTGATAATATATCTACAAATTCTAATTAGTATCTAATTTTGGCTTCTGAATACATCTCTCGGTTGCTGGAGTCCTCTACCCAGAAATTATCTGGCTGCATTGGTAATTTGCATACTGGTAATTCTGTGAAGTTTTGTTCTCCAGATAGTTTGTGGGCCCAGAGGGCTTCCTGACGCAGGGCAGTGTGACAGGGAGACAGCCTGGTTACTGTGGCTACGAGTAGTGCTGATGCTGCAGAAGCAAACGTCCTGAACTCAAAGGTAGGTATTGTCCCACACGCAGCTCAGAAGAAAGCCGGGCTGCCTGCAGGGGTGCAGGAGCTGCGTTCCCGTCTGTGTTTGCTCTCTTTGATGGGTAGGCCACTAGTGCTCCTTATTTTAAGAGCTGCTTAATATCTGCCTCTGTCAAGAAGTTTGTGGTCTTTCATGATGCTCTAACACTTCCAAATGAACACCTGCAGAGCCTGCTGTGAAATCTGAGCGCTGGCCGTCTGCTCTTACGCAGTGTCTTTATCATGTTTTTCTTGGCTTAGCAGCAACAGTGATTAATGACAAAGCCCTTTCCAAACAGAAGGGTGGTGTAAGGAATTGCTGTGAGTCACAAAGGAGGGGAAAAAAGAAAAGGGCAATTGCATAATTTCTGGATACAATGGCAAGAGCCGATATTTTTGGCTTAGTTCTGCCAAAGCCAGTTCTGGATGCTCAGATCTGTGCTGATGCATAAGCTGCACTTTCAAATGCTTTTGGGCTGCCTAAGTAGTGATATGCACAAACGGCTGCTGCATCGTCCTGCATCTCTGGCTGGGTTTAACCAAAAACTTTGCCTACAGTAGCTGGGATAGTTTGGATCAGGCTTGCTGGCAGATGCAGCTAAGCAAAACTCTTTCCAAATGGTGGTCGCTGTGTGCAATGGGAAAGCAGTATAGAGAAACGGGTCCAGGTCACGTGGCAGAACACTCAGCAAATACCAACTGTCTCTACCCAGTAGCTAGAGTATGGCAACGTCTTGTGTGGGCTGTGGACAGGGACAGGGCCTCTGTCAGTCAGCGTGTACGAGCAAAGTCCTTGGAGCCGTCAGGTTGCAGGGCATACGCGGGCTTTGGGCCATTGGCATGGCAAGATCCAGGCAGCCACGATTGTTGAAACAAGACTATTGCCTTGGACACTCCTCTAGCTCATCAGTTTATACATACTAATGGAGCTGATTAAGGAGGGCCATGTCATGGCCTTACTGGGACCTGTCTTTTGCTTATCTGTTCGTCTGCTTTCTCAGAGCCATGCTATGTCCCCAGAAATTACTAACCCTTATCTCCCCAAGTCCTATGCAGCAAGTGATGGACACAGCTGACCAGCAGAGAGCTGGTTTCTGTCCTTGGTGTGAGAGTCCCATTTCGCCCGCTCCTCCTGTGGTCCAGGACTGTTGGCTCCAGTGCTGCCCAGCTGATGCCTGCTCTGCTGGCCATAGGGGAACAACAGGCCCGGGAGTTCGAAGGATCGCTGCTTGCCTCTTCTTGTTTGAGGTGAGAGAAGTCCAGTTTGTCGCTGAACTGTAGCCCTGGCAAAGCCAAGACCTGCTTTGGAGGTCTGGGCTGATCCAGGGCCTCCTTGCAGACACCTGCCCATGGATCAACACTGATGCTTCTATGCAGGTCTTACAGGCACTTGAAAGCTTCCCAGCTTCCCTGTACTCCTGCTCATTGCTGGAGAGGCATTGCTTCCTCAGAACATGCTTACGTGGCTTACACCACTTCCCTGCACACTGCCGCTTGTGTTTTCCGCTGCGGTAACCTGATTTTGCCTCCTTTCTCCTGCAGAACAGCCTGTAGTAGATGTGTTCACCACAGCCTGCGTGGTCCATCTCAGCAGCTGGCTGGGGAGCTCTGCTTTGCAGGATGGTGCTGAACAGGTCCTCAGACTCCCAAGACACTACACCTTTGGGGAATGCACGTACAGTCACAGCCTCTCAGTTAGCAGGAGCATGGCCGTATCCGTATGCTTGTTTAGCTGGAAAGCAGCTGTGGAAATAGTTCCTGGTTTATGGTAATGGTTTGTGGTTCCCCCCGTCAGTAACAGCTTCGGCAGTGGCCCTGAGCTCTCCGTGACGTGCTGCACAAGCTGTGGTATGCTCTGTGGCCACGATGGCCTCTCTTCTGAGGGCCGTAGCCCACCACCGTCTTTCCTTCTCCCTTGCGTTCAACTGTGCCACTGCGTTTCCTCCTGAGGACGCCCAGGC